CAAGGAGAGTCGTAAAAATAGAAAATCTGTATTACTCAATAGAAAATTTCTGTAGGGATTGGCAGCATACATGACGAGAACCATATATTCTTTCAGTTATGTCAAGGGCTGAACAGTTTCTGAATTTAGAAATTTATAAACCTCTCTTGAAGAATATATGATTCTATGAATAATACTTATCAGCAAAATTTATGAAGAATAAGGATAAAAATGGGAAGCAATTAGGATTAGGTAGGTAAAAGAGAAATTTGTAGTAATAAACAATGAACTATTTATATATATTTTTCATATTTGTGTACTTATACACATATGTATACCTTTAAAGGGTGAACACTATTGAAAAGGTTTTTAAATGTACAATTCTATAAGCTTCCTTCCACATTAAATCATTCTAGAGAAGTAAGCATATTGGAATAAAAAAAATAAATGAGGTGTGTGTGTATGTTGTATGAAAAACAAGAACATAAAAATAAGTTAAACACGTGGTTTTCCATTTTCTTCAAATTCTGCCTTGAATTGTGTTTGTTTTTCTTGATCCATTTATAGTCTCCAGTTCTTTGCAATACAGTGAAAATGGTCCCAACACAATTTTTTATGCCTTTGTCTTATTTGCTCTTTGGTATGCTTTGCAATTGGCAGTAACTTTAAGGTCAGTGACCCATTCATTCAAAGTTATCTTTCTGAAGCCTTATTTTTAGGGACTGCTATCAAATTAAGCATAAGTCATTTTTTCAGCAGAGAAGGTGACATTTTATTTCTGTAAGATCACATAATAACCCATTTTGTGTGAAAGAAGGGACATTACCTGTATGACTTAGAAAATATATACCAACCTATCTTGTTTCCCAACCACTGTATAAACCACAGTATAAAACTTTGATTTGCTTCTTACTTTTCTCTCTTTTGTTTTTAATAAATCTGTATCAAGTAATACTTGTGCTGTTCACTTTATACACATTATCTCTAATCTTTAAATGATCTGGAAAAGCAGTGGCCATTGTCCTTATTTCCCGATGAGGAACTTGTAACTTGGCCATAGCCACACAGCCAGCAAGTTTCCCTGTGCATTAGGTCACACCCTCGTTTGTGACTATTTTGCTTTCCCTCCTTGGCAAACTAGTCAAATGATGTAGATTATTCAACTTATTCACAAATCCAATATCCAAAGTAAACCACAAAAAGAGACAACAGATTTTACAGGTTAGTATATTCTCTAGGACAGGAAGTATGGATTCTTTTTCTTTTGAGTGGTTAGGGATTATGTACAGATTACACAGACTTAAATAGTCATGTCCCTTTTGCTAGCTGTTTAAAAGCAGGTTACTAACCTGAGACTCAGTTTGCTCATTTATACATTGGGAGGATAATAGTATATTTCATAGTGGCATTCTGCAGATTAAGTGGGATAATAAATACAAAGTGCTAAGCACATTTCTGGCACATGGAAAGCATCTGTAAATATAAACTAGGTGTCCAATTAATTCTACATGCTCACTCAATATTCAACAAATAGTTGTGATTACAGTGAGGTTGATTGAGAAAAAAACATGACTTGAATGTAATGGCCTTAGCCTTGGGACTCAGAATGTGTTCCCAGAATAGCAGAATCAGCATCACCTGGAAATTTTATAAATGCAGACTCATGATCCTCACCCAGATGTACTGAATCAGAATCTATGGGACAGGGCAGAGATACTGTGTGTAAATGTACTTTCTAGAGGCTTCTTACATGTGCGAGAGTGAAAGTCATTGACCCAGAGGTTAGGAAGTATAATCATTTTATATATTGCCTACCACTTTATTAGTAAAACAGTGTGAACTAATAAACACTGCTACTCAGCTATTGAATCCTTTGTTAGACATATACAGTATGCACTTATAAAGATACCAGAGCTCTGAGTTCTTTGGTAGCAGTGATGGTCTATCTCATATGCTTAGCCTGAGTGTAGGACACATGCTGGGAAATCAAAACATAATTTTACTTGAATAATTGGTTTTGCTAAGCTTTTTTTAATTAACTGGCAAATCTATTTACTGTATTTAAAACATATTAAGCTTCTTTCACATTAAATGTAGTTTTTACAGTTAAATCAAAATGTAAATTTCAGAGTACCAAAAAAAGATAAACATACTTTTGTCTCAGAAATATCCTATTTTTGTTTGTTTCTTTGTTGGTTGGTGGGGGGGCACTTCTCCTTATTTGTTTTTTTTTTTTGGTTATGTGTTTGACTCTAAGTCACACTCTATGTGTGTGAGTGCCCTTGGAAGAAAAAGATGAAAGAAAAACATAGTGAATTGGTCCTATTAACATATGTCACACTGCTGACTATCAAAGGAGAATTTAGTAAAATAATGGCCAATAGTTAGATGCACAAATCAGTACGTGCTATAGAGAACAATTACACAATTGTTTTATTTTTCTCAGAAAATGCACATTGAAGTGCTAATTAAACGTCAAGTATAAAGATCCAGCTTGCTAACTTTGCTATAATCATGATCATGATCATTATCAAGTACTGCTTAAGCACCTATAACGTTGGGGCATTATGCTAAGATGTTGCAATTTATTAAAATTATGCAACACATTTAAGAGAGTCAGGTTTGAGCCCTGACTACATTTTTTTCCATTTTAAAGACTTTATTTACACTTGAGAGCAGCACAGCATCTAGAAAGAACAAGGTCATTGTGGTCAAACAGACCTGAGTGACTGTGGACAAATGTCTATCATCATAGCATAGGGTTATGAAATTCCAGCACAGTGCTTATTACATAAGATGTGTTCAATGAAAGTTATTACTGTTGTCATAGCTATTAATATTATTATTATTATTATTATTATTATTATTATTATTTTACTGAGCAGGTACATAAGCAGTTGACAGACCAACACTCTCACTTCCTGCTGACAAGCGAGTAACTGCCAATGTCATCTTCCAGACATATGAAAGGTAGCTGAAATGCTTTCTCTATCTCCAATTTCTAAGTGCTCTAAAAGTAGTGTGATTATGTTGGGAAAAGCAAACCTTAAAGAAAATTGCCTCTTAGAAATTCAAAGAAATAAACACAGGATGCCAGGCCATCATAACACTGTATACAATGCTCCTACAACAGACATTTAGCTCAATGGAGAGACTCCTTGACTTAAGAGGGCAACATTTTCATTGTAATGTGAAGCCTAATGGAGTTTACTGTGAGAAAACTGGAAAAAAGAGAAGGAAGATCATGACCTCTACATTTAACTTATTCAGGTTGCTAATTCTTCTGCAAGTTGATTAATAATGTATGCTGCCACATTTTCTAAAGTGTGAATATATGTACTTATAACTACCTATATGTAGTCAAAGAGTAAACATACTGACAGTTAACTTGCTTTGTTCTATCTTTTTGATTTTTTAATTTGGTGGGAGGGAGAGAGACGGAGAGGGAGAGACTGACTGAGTTGAGGAAAGAGGCAGAGGGAGAGAGAGAGAAAAAAAAATCTTAAACTGAGTGTGGAACCTGACAGGGGACTCGGGGCTTGATCACACGACCTTGAGATCATGACCTAAGCCGAAATCGAGAGTCAGACACTCAATTGACTGAGCTGCTCAGGTGCCCTGAACTTGCTTTGTTTCTTAAAATAAATGCTGCATCTTAAAGAAAGAGAAGTAGTGGGTGTAAATCTACCTTAATTCTTCTAAGATAAGGGAGCCAAGGATGTAAGAGCAAAGGCTTTGTCTTCAGCAGACAGCATCAAGTTTATTCCCAGCTCCATCACTTATTCAGTGTAAAACTTTGTGCAAGCTACTTAGCCTTCCTGAGAATCAGTTTGTCCATCTCTATAATGGGACTGATAATATTATGTACTTAGTAAGATTGGTATAGGGTCTAAAGAGAGTAATTTTACATGTGCCTTGCACACAGTAAGTGCTCAATAAATGTTAACTTTCATTGTATTTAAGTTATACAAAATAAGTGACTTAGTAGGACCAACATTCCATTCCTACAAATTACCGTTAATATCTCTTCATCTTAACATTGTGTTGTCCTACCCCCCGAAAACAAGATACAACAAAGAAAAAATAATAAAGGGAAAACTCTTTTAGGAATTGAATATGGAAATGTCAAAGATAAGTCTGCAATATATAATGATGAACCAATAATTCAAAACTGCAAGTAAAGAATATTAACTGATTTCAAAAATATTTTCCATTTCCATGCAAAGATTTAACACAATCTTCTTATAAACTGTCAGTATCACCACTGAATTCAAAGTACCCTAAGTCTCCCTTTCCTAATGTTTGGAGCCATATAACATACTCCTTATCCTCTTTTTTTTTTTTTTTTTTTTTTTTTTTTTTTTTTTTTTTTTTTTTTAGCTCTGTAAGCTGAAATACAAGTCTAAAATATCAGAGTTTAGTTTCTGAGAATATTAAGTGGAACCATTCTATTTGAGGAATATTTATTTTTCCACACTCATGTTATTTTTCCACTTTTTAAAAAAAGAAAAAAATCAAGGCAAATGCTTTAGACTTTAAAAAAGGTTTTTGTCAGCTCTGGAAGAAGAACATGACAAAAGAACACCTCATCTTCAGGAAAACAGCAAAAGGCAAAAACAGATCATCACTAACAGAAGCTAAATTACACAGGAGAGTTGAGCTACTAAGATATAATTGATTCTGCCAGGATAAAAATGGAACAGAACCAAGAGATTACAATGAGAATCATTTTGGTACTAAAGAAGACCTCTTTAACAATGGGTGTGCATTCAAATCCTAGTGTGATCATTATAGGCTTATTTTCCTTGTTCGCGTTCCCATGATAAAGGCCTGAAGAGAAGCACTGGCATTTTAAATTGTTCAGTCTCGCTTGTTGAATTTTTTTTTCTTCCTTCTTAGGCAAAATTATATTCTCATGTTACTAGAAGAATGTTTCGGAGAGCAAGTACTGTGAATATATAGCGGCCAACAGTGAAGATAGCACTGGAGGATTAGGGTACTGATAAGGGAAGAGAAATTACCTGTGGGCATTTGCTCCAAGGTCCCCACTCAGACATGACACATTCACTGGGACACAAGAGAGAGCAGGACTGGGTTTCTGGGGGAATTTCATCCTGGTTGCACAGGCTGTTATCCACGGCTCCCCCTTCACTATCTGCAGCACTCACGCATCTGCAAAGCCAGATCAAAGGATAAAACAATAGAGAGTAAATTTAAAATAGTTATGATATAGTTACTTACCCCTCAAAGATAGTTAAACATAAAATAAGACTAGCAGAGAAATCAAGGGAAAAATATTCCGTCTTCAGCCAGTTGACCTTTATTGAATGATAATCCTTTATTCAGCAGAGCAGGAGAGAATAACGCAAAAAAAACTGGAGTCCACTGTCATTCTTGAAGAACTCTCTATCTCAAGAGACCTACACTATTTTAACTCACGTCCAGCACAGAGTGAATTTTCTTTTTACGGTAAGAAATTTTGAAGTCTTTCCTTCTCTGAATGAATTCATCATCACTTTTTAACAGTGAGAGCCTTCGTAGTTCCTGTGACTCTCTTAGACCTTTCCTACACTTACATCTCACATCATCCAAACTTCCTTAATCTTTGTCCAATTTAAGGTCATGACCAAGTAATGCGAAACATAATTGAATATGCTTTTCTTTCAAGTATTCTCTTCATTTCAGTAAGGAACTTTGGCATCACAAACCAAAGGTCAATATGTAAGCATTTACATGCAGCATTTGAGCACATGGTGTACAGATGCTTGGTCTAATCTATGTTGGGCTTGAGAAGAATGCTGGCAAAGGCAAGACAAAATAATCATGCTATTGATTCAATCAAATTAAAACTGAAGTATTATACCACTACATACCCACTGGAATGGCTTCAGTGAAAAATATGGAAAATATCAAGGGTTGGCAAAAATATGCCACAACTGTAAGTCTTCTTACATTGTCGGTTGGAGCACAAACTCCTTGAAAAACTAGCTGGCAGTATCTACCAAAACGAAACATAGATGTATCATGTAACCCAACAACTCCATGCCTATAACATGTAAAGAAATGTGTATGAATGTGTATCAAAAAAGAAAAAAAAATCTGACAATATATGCATATTAACACTATTCATAATCATCCAAACTAGAAACAGTCCAAATATTCAACAAGATCAATAGATAAATACATTGTGGTAAGTAATTCAATTAAATGCTATCAAAGTGGTAGGAACGCATGAACTATTGTTACATTATAGAGCATGGACGAAGATCACAAATCCAATGCTGAACAAAAGAAGATAGACACAAGAGAGTATGCTCTACACGATTCCATTCATATAAATTTAAGAAGTAGGCAATATTCATCTACAGTATCAGTGGTTTGGGGGAATGATTACTTACTGATAAGGGCTTAAGGTAGTCCTGGTAATATTTTATTTCTCAGTCTCTGGGCTAGCTACACAACTGTGTCTTTGTTGTGAACATCCATTCAACTATACCCCTATGAGTAGGCATTTCTCTGTATTGATATTAAATCCCAATTTGAATTTTATGTTTCAATTCATTTTTTCAAAAATGTTTAAGAAAGACCAGCTGTGTGCAAGTCTCTTCTGCTAGATATGGGATTCAAAGTTAGTATTTTCAATAATAATTCATTTAGGGATGATTTTTAAGGATTTACTGGGTAACAGGCCCTTGCCTGGCTGTTGAGATATAGAACTAAAAGAAAGAGAGAGAGAGACAGAGAGAGAGAGAGAGACAGACAGACAGACACGAGGGGCAAGATCCCGACTGTTAGGACACTTTTCTTCTAGTGATGATAAAGTGAAGATGAAAATGACAATAATGAAGAGTTAAATGGTGCCATTTGCTGATCTGACAATTTCAGGCACAATGCCATAGCCAAGGAATAAGCATTTTAAGATACATATGCTGGAGAAACTTTGGTGCTCCTCAAATCATGCTATACTAGAATGAATTATTGAGAACATGAGCAAGGGAGGGGGTAGAGGGAGAGAGAGAAAATCTTAAGCAAACTCCATGCTTACCACGGAGCCTGATGCAGGGCTCAATCCCACGACCCTGGGATCATGACCTGAGCCAAAATCAAGAATCGGACGCTCAACCAACTGCCATACAGTTTTGTTTTTAATTCAGGAAAATGGCAAAGTAGTCCATTACCTTGTACACAATAAAATAAGCTTTGTGAGGTGCTAAGTAATGAAAGACTATATATTGTATAAAGGAGGTTAATGTAGAATAGGAGAGAGAAGATGTAAGTAATGCCTTTTAATATAGGGAGGCATTGTATAGAGTCATCTATGAACTTTAATTTCTTTTGTGGTAAGAGTCAATAGTGGAAGTAAAGACCACAAAATATCTTATGTGTCTTACTCCGGACAAACTTAAAAGTTGGAAATTGCTTTCCTTCTTGCCTACATGCTCTCAGCTGACGTTCTTTTATTATTTCACTGAGAAAGAAGAGATAAGACTTCTGGTCAGTGGCATCCAATTCAGTGTTTGCATTAGCTTTTGTTCACTCCCAATATGCCAGAAAAACAATAGTAAAAGAATTTGTTACAAAATCCACAAAAAGCCCACAAAGAAAACCCAAAAACCCAAGGCATTTCCCTACAAGGACAAAGAACATGGGAAAAGGACAAAAGCAACAAATGGAAAATAGATGAACTAGTGGTAACTAACTTAGCATACATACCAAGAAAGCTGAATACTAAGACTTCAAGGAAAAACAAAGGAAGTAACTCCATTTACACCCCAGAACACATAAAAATTTCAGGAACTTGTGGCACCAACTACCTCTGGAAATATGGATGAAGGTGAGGCTGAAAACCTGGAAGATTTACTGATCACGTGTTTAAGAAGTACCTGGGCCCTCAGACTCCCTCCTACTTCCAGTCCACAAGGATAGTTGATGGCCTCTCTACTCCCCTTGCAGGTAACTGAAGGTTTATTATCTGGAGGGGTCACAAAAAGAATCTTTGGGCTAGAACATGCATGCCTCACTTAAGGATGGGAGTATCATACTGAAAAATAAGGGTTTAAGTATGAGTTAACACACTGAAAAAAATGACCACAAACCTAGAAGTTTAAACAATGCAGATTTATTATCTTATAATTCTATAGTATAGAAATACAACATGGATCATACTAGGCTAACATCATTGCTTTGGCAAAGCTGGAGTCCTTTCTGGATGCTCTAGAGGAGAAACCACTGCCTTATCTTTTTAAAGGTTCTAGGGGCACCCACATTCCTTGGGCATGGCCCCTTTCTCCATCTTCAAAGCCAGCAGACTTGCATCTCTCTCTGCCTTACATCTGTAGTTACATTTCCCTTTCTCGTACATTTCCTTTCCCACTTTTAAGAACCCTTGTGAATAAATTGTCCCCGCCCAGACAATCCAGGAATATCTTCCCTTTTCAATCCTAATATCATCTCTGCAAAGTCCCTTTTGCTATGTAAGTTAACATATTCACAGATTTCAGTGATCAAAATGTGACATCTTTAGGGGGCCACCATTCTGTCTACCACATCAACAGCTTTCTTCCATTAGGTTCCCAAAACACTGGCTGCTAGGATTATCTATTTCACGCATGATTTACAAACAGACTTTTCTGGTGGTTCTGACAAGCCCAAGAGTAATGACTTAAAAAGACTGATATTGAAGATGTTCCAAAATGAAAATGCCCCTGCAGATACATATTCTGCATCATCAATTTCTTTGCCATATTTCCCTTCAATTGTCACCTCATTTCTTCTCAAAACTCATGGCAAAACGGTTTTAAAGCTAGTCTATATTTGCTCTCTCCACATGCTTCTCCCCCACTTCTTCCATAACCACCTGCTGAATTTACATTAATCATATGTTTATTACTAATCCAGATAAACCTTTTATCAGCATCATTAACAGACTCCACATGGCCAAACTCAACAATCAATTCTCATCTTAGTAAATTTCTGACAACCATTTGAAACAACTGATTATTTGTTTTCTTGAAAAACCCTCTATCTTCCCATTTTCATGGTTTTCCTCCTTTTCCAGATATTCTTTTTCAGTGCCTTTGTATAGTTTTCTCCTTGTTGTCATCATGAATATTGGATTTCCCCAGGTCTCCATTTCTTATGTCTTTTCTTATCAATATATACCAAATGTATAAGCTGTTGATGCACAAATTTATACCACTGTCTCTCTCTGAACTCCAAAATGGTACTGTCGCGGTCGGATGGCTAAAATCATCTCAAATTTAATGTGTTCAAAAGCTAGCTTTTGATTTTCTCTCTGAAACTCGCTTCTAATACTCCTCATCTCAACAAATGGCACCATCATTCCTATGATTGTTCAGGCACTAAAACCTAGCCATCATCTTTGATGCTTGTCTTTCTTCCACATTCTACAATCACTTTATAAATAAATCCTGTGGTCTGTACTTTCCAAGAATAGTCCAATGTGACCTGCTTACCATCTTCATTATTACCAAGTCCAATCTAACCATCCGTGTCCCTGAAAACTTCATCCCAGCTTCTACTTATGTACTCCAAAATACCTTCTCTACACTACATCTGACAAGGTCCTTTCAAATGCAAATAAGACTGTGTAATTTCCTCTGTCTCAAACATTTCATAGCTTCAAACAGTTGGAAAAAAAGTTCTTTGACATTGTTTTAGAAGGCTGTGTGATTTGAGTAGTGACACCAGCCATATGGAACACCTTGCTATTCATCTTGTTATAACAAGCCAAAAAAGGTTTCTGGCTTTGGACACTCCTTCTCCCTGGGATTTCTTTCTATAGATCTTTATATTCATTCAGATCTCTCATCTTATTCAGATCACTGCTTCAATATTTTGCTGACGAACCTCTCCAAAACAGTATCCCCACTCATTCCAATCCAATTTTTTTTCTTGGCATTTCATAGTAAAGACATTCCATTATGTTTATGTGTTTATCTTTTTTTTCCTGCTGCTACAATTTATTTGAGGATAGAAAATTTCGTTCATTTTATCCCCAGTGCCTAGACTGCCTGACACACAGAATATTTTTGAATTAATAGAAGATTGCAACCCAAGATGAACCGTGAAGATGTCCTCCAGATTAGAGGTTTCAAGAAAGAGAAAGGATAAGCTATTTTATTCATTCTAACAGCATCTTATTAAGGTCAGTAGTGGTTTGGAATGCAACACACCTGGAAAATCTGCTTCCCATAATTAATGTTATTATACACATAAAGCGTGACAAAATTTGCCAGAACAAAATTTGCAACAAAATATCACAGACTAGGTGCCTTAAGTATCAGAAATTATTTTCACACAGTTCTAGAGGCTCCAAGTCTGAGATGAAGGTGCTGGCAGGGTGGTTTCTTCTGAGACCCCTCTTGTTGGTTTGTAGATGGCAGATGGCTGTCTTCTCCCTGTGGCTTTACATGGTCTTCCCTTTGTGTCTGTGTCCTAATCTCCTCTTTCTATGAGGACATGGGTCAGATTGGATTAGGACCCATCCTAGTGACGTCATTTTACATTAATTACCTCTTTAAAGAGGCCGTCTCCAAATATAGCCACACTTTGAGGTTCTCAAGATTTGGACTACAATACATAAATTTTGGAGGAATGCAATTTAGCCCATATCAGAGTGATATTCAGTAGCTGTGTTACTTTTATTATATCAAGCTCTATATGTTTGAGCTGAGAAGTTAAAGGCCTTCTTGTTTAAGTATGTTTTTCCTCAATCAGCCTGCCACAGTTCTGTTGGTAGTGATTTATTCTCTTAAAGCTTTCCTTTCTCTCCTGAGATTTTGCTTTAGTACTGGTAAGAGGCCTGTCTGGGATGAGAGTGGAGGTACCACAGCTCAGCTGCTTGTTCCTTGATAAGCTAGATTGATCAGTCATTTCTCAAAACCATGAGAACAAGACACAGGGGACACAGATTTTGAAGAGAAAAAAGTCTGCGACAACCTGAGCACACCAGTCCCAAGAGGAAAGGGGACTGAACAAAGTGACAAAAAGACAACTTCTCTACTAGCCATTCACTTAGGTTGATGAGGAGGAGCACATCTATAGTTTCACTAACAGCTATTTCTTCCAACATGCTTATCAGTGGTTTTGCAACATTGGGACTAAGTCACAGAAATGGTGGATGTGGGTGCATACTGACTTATGGAATAAAGTAGGTTCACTGATGTTCAGTAACAATCAACACATATAAGCAGGCTCTGCCTTGGCAACTGACGTCAATCCAACAGTGAATTCATAGGGAGTTACAGGCTTTGGGCACTGTCTGTTTGACATGGAGCTTCCTAAATCTCGCAGAATGATACCCTATGCTCATGCGATTCAATAATTGGCTAAAACTCTATTTTCTTCTTGAATTCACATACTAACCATTGTTTATCATTAATATTTTAGTTTTTGCTTGTTCAGTCTCTAACATTTATTCCCATTATCCTCAGTTGGTAAAGAAATTCTTTCTTTCCAAATCATTTTTGAATAGGCCATTTTGACAAATTCAGACCAAGTGTTTTCCTTTGCTTATCACTGCTGTATTTACAAGACAAAAACATTAAAGAAGACCGCTCTGTAAATAACCCAGAATTCACTAAGTTCTTTCAGAGGTGTGCTTTCTTTGTATTAAAATTCATTGCTACTGTTTATAAATATTCTCAGACTTTAGTTTCCAGGGCTAATAGGGAGGGTTTAAATTGAGCTTTTCAATGCATTGACATTCAAAATTAAGATCATGTCCACCAACTATACTACCCATAGAGCAAAATCACAGCCAAAATCTCCTGTTTTCAACATCTCCGTAACTGTTAAGACTTAACTTATAACTGATTATGAGTCAGTGAAGGGATGCCAGCCTGCTCCATGCAATTAGCTTTCCCACCTAAGTCATTTGTAGGAAACGGTAAGGACTGTGACTGAACTGCAGAGGAAATCCCACTGTACACATGGCAGTTAGGGCACATATGCTTCCACAGATACTTGATGATGAGTGAAAGCCAGAGTATGCGGTGTCAAAATCAGAGTGTACTTGGATAAGCAACACTGTTCTTTTATAAAAATGTATAAGTTCCACAGGCCCATTTCCCAAGTGTCTCCATCTCTACACACCTGATTTTCCTAGATTGCGTTCCTCCTCCGCAGCGCAGAGATCTCAGCTCATTGTGGATTTTGCATGGAGACCAGTGTTCTACAACCCAGGAATACTGATTGCATTCACTGTAACATGGGACTGCCTCATGGACCTGCCAAGCAAGAATAGGAAAGGAAAAAAAAATTATGTGGAACTACCCAAGGTATATGAAAACAGCATATCTTGTAATAATGCCTGATGAACATAACCCAAGAACTATACTCTGGCTAAAACAGCCAAATTACACTCCCAAAAAGCGAGATGTATTTGGCTTCTCTGAAATTACTGACTTGCCTAAAGAAACATACAGGCGAAATCAACTAAGATTTGATGGTATGCCTTCACAGAAGAGAACAAAGGACAGTCATTTCCTACCACTGAAAATAAGAATTCCATTACCATTTCATTTCCTTGAAGACCTCACACAGCATCTATTAGACGGTCCAGCTCTCAATTATATGGCGTATTGTATTCTCAGATGTACTTTAAGATGTCAATTGAAACAAATATACGTAAGGAAAATTTACTCTTGAATATAAGAGGTCCTTAGAATGCATAAGAAAAGTGGTGTTATTTGCACCGGAAATTTCTTTTTATGCCCCCAAATGATCAATGCTAACAGGCAATCATTTAGCCTCCTGGGTATTGTGGCTTCATATGAATTCATCTATTTGTAGGATGTTTTCAGAGCATAGCTATAACACTCAGACACACACACATACACAGACACACACACACACACACACACACACACAAGACAAACGCTGCTAGACTATTAAAGGTTGTGCATGATTGATTACTGACTGTGAATATTTACACTTTTATGGTAAAAACAATGATTACAGTAAATGAATTCTTAGGTTACTTCCTATGCATTTGTTTGTGATGATTTTTTCCCCCTACAATTGTATCCCAATGGGTAGTCAATTGAGTTTGCCTATTTAAGACTGAATTTAAAATGCATTAGTCAATATAGAGCACAGCACTCTCCCTTGGTAAGAAAATGTTTCATTGCGTGATAGGTTACTCTAGATCACAGAGAGGGCTCTAATATAGCACGCTGATGAAGAGTGATTCAACCTATTACCAAAATACTTAATTAATGCTTTTCCTTTTAAATAAAAATTTAGGCCTGAGTTCTTTTCTCCCACTGCCTTTCTAATTCCACAAAATCATAAATGATGACTAGGCAATGCTATCCAAACAGAACTGTTACTTGCAAGTTTCCACTAAATGTGAGGGAAAGCACTGTGTAATGGGATAATCAGAAAACAAGATTGGAGCACCGTCAGCATGTTAGATGGAAATCAAATGAGAAAAGGTTATTTGTGAGACTACATCTTAGGAATCACAAATAATGTCAGAAACTATTTTTAACCGTGGGGTTCTATTTGGCTCTCTCACCTAGAGCACACAAGGAAAAGGAAAACCACAAAGTGAAAAATATGTGAGGGCAAAATGAAAGGAGATGGGGAAATAGAAGTGAAAATGGGTGTAGGAAAGTAAGGAATTAAGTAATAAAAGAATCACATTTCATGCTGCGAAGGCTGCCAAGAATGGAATGAAAGGTTTGGAAGCAGAATCTACATTAGAATAAGGAGGTAATAACTTGTAAGGGAGAAAAGTCTGCCTGAAAAACTTCTAGCATGGTAGATGTAAGAGAAAAATAGACAAAAATGAAAAGACAGGAACCCAACCGAGCAGACACCTGGAAAGTGAGCTGATGACAGCTGAGGGTTTAGTCAACTCAACTATACCAAGAAATAAAGATTGCACGGAATTTATGGGCTTGTTCTATAAACTTTTCAATAGGTACCAGACCATTTAAGTAAAGCTCTTTGGCTTTCATATGAAATGCATGAAAGCCTGCCAAACCAACTTGGTACAAATGGGGTAGATGAAAATATTAATTAAAAAAGTGTTTTCCCATACCTCATGTATGAATGTGAAAGCAAATGGATGGAATATGTTGAGAGGGGCCTATATTTCTAAAGCTATCAGTACTAGGCAGAGCTTAGACTACCTTCCCTCCTATGGAAACCCCAAAGACAGATGGGGGCGGGGGGAGAAAGAAAACCTGTTTAGTTGCATATTCCTCTGATATACACATTTTAATGTCTGGTCATATATTGGTTTACTGTTTTTACTCTTTATGCTCTGCAATCTACACCTGTAGCAGAGTAACCAACCTCAATGAAAAGCTGTTGGAAGATATGGAGCATATTTAGGTAGGAAGATGTTGATCCATCCTCTTGGCTAGTGGTATATAAAAAAGCAACTCTTAAAAAAGATTCTCCAGTCACGTGGATTTACTTGTTTTTCTTCCCCCTCAGATGTGTATGCTATTTTAATATTGCTCATACTGTTACTTCTAGCTGATAAATCCCTACCCTTCCTTCAAAGCCCAAGTAAACCCCACCGCTTCTGCAAGGCTTTTCCCATGACCCCTAGTTGGCATATCTTTGGTACTCACTGGCTGTCTCAGTTTTCAGTAGACCTGTAGCCAGATTATAACGTCAGGATGCACATGTACAGAGCCGGGACAATGCTGGAGGTTAGAACCTCATTGTGTGTTGCTGGGGGAACGGGCACATTCAATAAAGTCATCATCTGACTCTTTCTCTAAATGTTTCCTATTTCTCACACCACTTTAACTCGTTTTCTCACCTTGGTCTTAATGTGTACTTTTTACTTTATATAATAAGTCTACTTTTTACTTCAAATAATATGGAGAGAATAAGCTCAGAGAAACACAATTTGTACTTTTCATACCTGACGCTTCTGGTCCTAACCAAAGTCAAACCTGGATAATCAGCATTTGTTTAGGTGGCTACTTAAAGAAATTTTTGAGTTTTAGGCAGTCAGGAACTAAGTTTCCATATGCCTGTATTTCACAAGACATGGAGAAGAGAGTGGTGTTCAACAAGTAATTGTTGAATTGAAACTAATTTTTTAAGGGAGCCCAGTTGCTAATTGGCCCTCATGTAATTCTCCAGAGAACACAGTCCCACTAAACAGAACATGATAAGGGGTATTTTGCAAAGCCCAAAGGACAATAAGGAGGAACAAAAATAAAAACCTCTCCTTTCCATTATGGGCTGGCGTGAAGAACAATCACTGTGTCATTAAAAGGTACCGCTTGATGATTTTGTTATGGGGAAAAACTATGTCCCTTAAGAATTGTGAGAATAGTGGTGCCTGGGTGGCTCAGTTGGTTAAGTGTCTGACTTTGGCTCAGGTCATGATCTCGCCATTCCCAAGTTCAAGCCCCACATCAGGCTCTGTACTGACAGCTCAGAGCCTGGGGTCTGTTTCAGATTCTGTGTCTCCCTCTCGCTCTCTGCCCCTCCCCTGCTCATGCACTCACACACGCTCTCCCCTCCCCACCTCAAAAATAGTAAAATAAACATAAAAAAAAAAAAAAGAATTGTGAGAATTGTCTCCTTACAGTCCTTGTCCATCAGGCAAGGAATCTTATTGAGAGGATTAAAACAACCAGAAGCGGCAAAAAGTGCAGTAGGCATTCAACAATAAAAATTAACTACCCAGCTGGCCAATTTCTTCTCCTGTCAGTCCTTTATGTTCTGGCCATTTCATATTGCTGTTTAGTTGGTGCTTATTACAGTTTCATAATGGAAATGTGTTAAAGCATGGACTTTATCAGGGAATCATATGGAAATGTTCTGAAGGAGAGAAATGAGCCATGGGAAAGTTAAATGAAAATCATTCCTAAATGGCACAAATTAGGAAGAAAATAATAGGGTTTAATAGGGCTATAGATGCTAAAAATGCCACTGAAAAATCTAAATCCTCTGAGAAGCAACATTTGATTCTCCTAGTAATGAGTCTTATTTATTACTTCTTCAATGGGGAATTGTGTTTTTATAATTTTGCTAGTTCTGGAGTCATATCATAAACTTATTCATTGAGTCGGTCTTTTAATATTTATTAAATATGTCTCCACTGATTGTAACTGATCAGTTTAACTAAGTACTATTTTGTGATACCAGTCTCCAACTATAAACGGACTTCCCTGGCCTACACTTGGAAGCAAGGACTCAGTGGTGCTCAGCAGATGTCATTATTAATTATCAGAGTCCTAGGGCTTAAGGACTCAAATAAAGCAAACAAACAATAACCACAATCAAAACAAAAACAAAGAAAGGAAAATTTATGACTTCCAATTTTCTGTGGTAATAACCCTTTGCTCCAGGGAAGCTGCCAGTCAATGCCCGGGTAAAAGTCTTCAGGCTGTAGACTTCCATGCTGGGGACTGAAATTAATCAGTAGAACTTGACATCGGTTCAAAACCCCATCTAGGAGCAGAAATTCCTGCAAATCAGAGCCAGGTCTGTACCACTGGAGTGTGAGAGGAAGTGGTCTTCTCGGAGTGGTGAGATCAATAAAGCACTATGGGTTCCCTTCTGCCTCAAATGTTGTGAGCTTTTAACATAAGATGTACAAATTTCCTTCAGGGCTAAGACCCTCATCTCTTAATTCAAAGAACTTCTCCCCAGCCCTTCTCTACTTGCCGGTTTCCTCTCTTTCAGCCTCCAGTTTCCACTGTTTCCCTTCAGAAGGGTCCTCCATGCTACAGCCTCCCTCAGCTTAACCAAAATCTGCCCCTTTTCTTCTTCGGTCTGCAACTAAATTAGGTACTCCTCCATTAGGAATATCTGAATGACTGAAAAATATCACATTTATGTAAATAAACTTTTGCTTCCATTTTTGTTAATCATAAATTTATACCTGTCTGTGCATAATGTAATACATGCAGTGCTCAAGTTCAGTCCTAATGCAACTGCACCCACATGTTTTACAACATCACTGGCCCCAGGTTATCAATGACACCACCTAAGGTTGCATATAACTTTATAGCTTCTATACGACATTTTATGTCTCAGGTCTCAAACATCATGATCATTTAAGTTACACATTAGTAGAATCCCTATTTCCATGTAAAAATAAATAAAATTTGAAGATTCTGAGCCATTTATGGCTGATGAATGACTAGGCTGGTGCTCAAGCTGAGATTGGTGATGCGAAAAAAAAGTGCTGGGTTTTGCCTGTTTAACTTGTTTCGGGCACATCACCATGCTCTGAGGATATCTT